ATAAATGTCGCGTGCCGCGGATTAAAATTTTTCGAACTTTCATTGGACGATTTACAGCCATTGAAAACTAATAAAAAGAAATCCGACAATCAAATTTAATGTGCATTTAATATGTATTTTTTAGAAAATGTCAGAATATCACGGCAAAGATTTACTACGATTTTTCATTACACTTGGCTAATGAAATAAAAGACTTGGACCCACTCTAGAGACTAATTTTACTTTGTAATAATTACTTTAAACGCTTTACGCTTCGATTTTGTCTACATCGACGGTACTCTGCGAGAAGTATAATCTCTCTCCAAATATTCCTCAACTGTCAGTTCTGAGACGAAGTTGTATTTTGATGCAAATTAAATGATTTAATGAAGGATAACGCAACTAAGCAAATTGTGTCACTATGCTTAGGTTCAGCTCATCTCTCGAGAGAAAATTCCTCGAAGAGGAAAAATTACAGCAACGGTACAGCCCAGTGTCGTAATTCATGTTTTATGCGGGCAAAATGTATCATTCATCTTCTTTTGGGAGAACTTCTGTAGGGAAAACAGTGCCCGATCTTTTTTTCCTGCCGTTGAAAACACGGACGTTATTCCCTGTGCATATTTTACAGCCGGCGAGACTTGACTTTTCTCGTTGAAATACAGCCTGGCTGTTAAATCTGGAGCATTTTTTTTGTTTGTTGTCCCGTTTTGTTCCGTTTTCTTGGTTCTGGGTCCGGCCGTCGTTGGCCGAATTTTAAAACGCAGCGACGCAACCCCCATTATATGGGGGACCGTAGAGTTTCTCCCAAAGGAAAATAGTCCGGCTCCAAGAAATTCGCGAACTGGTCCTTATGGTTGCCCGTTTTTCGCTCTATATTTTTGTGAACTTTCGACGAGACTGTCGACCTGTTAGATCAATAAGTCCGGCCGGATCCTCTTCTATTAAATCTGTGATGGCCCAATTCTCTAATGAAGTCCGCTTAGTTCCTAAACAAAGTTCGTAGATGTACAGATATGATTCATCTCGAGATGAAAACAAAACAGAAAGAAACAAAGATTCAGCAAGCAGTATAAATAATTCAGTAATTCTGGAAAATTGGATCTCGGAGGCGAAGGATGATTAATGGATTACGGATGATTAAGACAAATGACACACCAAGCGAATACTTTTGAGTAGATACAGTGATTTTCGTGCTATGAGATATTCTTAGGATGTAAAGGTTCGATAGGATTAAGGTTCGATAGTACCCAGAGGAGCTATTAATTGAACAAATTCAAAAACAATTTCTCCTGAGTCCTACAAAGGTATCAAACACCTTAATCCCACGACCAAGGTGTTTAATGCGATTTGCAGAGCTTTTTTCTCTCCTTGCGAAAACTGTTAACCAGGGGATTAATTCGAGAACATTGAAACTAAACTCACCTGATGGAAAGTGCGAGTGTGTGAGCATTTCCCTCCGACGAAAACTCAGAATTGCAAAGGTCCATGAAAACTCCTCCTCGATTCTGTCCAAATGTGATTTGTAACTGATCCTCGAAGGTGGAAGATTTCTTTCCAGTCAGGCAGAAGTTATTTTCGAAAAGAAAATAAAGCTGAAAAATTAAAGTAGATTTAGAATTACACGATATTATACTTTCTGAAGAATAAGTGAATATATTAATGCTGCGCTTGACGACGAATTGAACGAGGAATTCGCGATTCGCAGAAATTCGGTTGTTTTTACGAAACGTTCGTTTAGTTCGCACCGAGGTGAAAAAAAAACGCGGATCGATTTGGAAAATTTGTGAACTCGATCGAGGTACGTACGGGTCGTGGTGGTACTACTGCGCTGGTAGTAGTAGTCTAGTACGTTTTTCTGCCAGCCAGTTCATAGACGAACCTCTTTTATAAATGTCATCGTCGTTCGAAACGCGCCTTTCCACGCAGAAGATTAACAGAGCGCAGCGCGTGAGATGTTGGAACTATTGAACTACCATGCTTTTTATTAGAGACTGTGTTTTCCATTTTTAATTTTTGAAATAAATACGCGTATCGCCAAAAAACATAAATAGTCTCATTTTCTCAAAAAATGATTATATCTTCCAACATGTATAGACCGAGAGTCTCTATTTGTTACTTTTGAAATAAATACGCGAATCACCAAAAAACATAAATATATAATATTTCAAAACGTAGTTTCATTTTCTCAAAAAATGATTATATTCTCCCATATATATATATCATATATATATCATGTATATCATATATAAATATATATATATATATGTATAACATATGTATAAC